GTCATGGTGTGTGCTCACACAACACGCGTTTTGCTGGTCACTCCTTCCCAACTCAACACACAGCTCACAACATTCTGCACGTGTTATTTATTTTACCTCTACAGCATAAATATCAATGCCTTATTGCAGCAGCTGCTTGTGTCCAAGGGGGAAAAGAAGGTACACAGGAGCATGGGGAAGGCCGGAGGTTGCTTTTGTACAAGGCAGTGCGGTGGGTGATGTGCAGAAATGGTGCCACCGTTGGTGGAACACTGGTGGTATCTATGGCACTGAGGAGCTTATTTTCACCTCCCGTTTGTGGAGTCTGTCTAACACAGGGTAGGACTGTAGTGCAGTGTTACTTTGGCACAACAGAGATGCTGCAGGGTTGTTTGCAGCTGTTTTCCACCCATCGCTGGTGGTAGCACAACTCCTGGCAGGTAAAAAGTCCAGCAGCTTATGGAGAAAATGTTACCCCCTGGCAGCTGCTCATGAATTCTTATGTGCCAGCAGCAGTGCATGAACCATTCTTTGTTGTGAGATAAAATCTGACAGAAAAGCATAGCTCCTGACGGAAAAATCTGATGCAATTAAGTTTCTGTGCACAGCTCATAAACTTTGATATGGCAAATAATGGTGAAAATTGATCTTAAATCCAACATTTAAAAAATCCCCAAGCCCACCCCCTTTCACCAAATCTGGGTATCCATCTACAGCAACTTTGTGTACGCAGGTCATGCTATTCTTCCAAAGGAAAAATAACAGGCAGCAACAACAACAAAATAGAGCTGTATGGGTAAAATTCAGTCGAAGGTGAATTTTCATTGCTGCATATTAACAAAACTAATTCTGGGGGGAAAAAAAGCTCAAAAATAACATGGAGTAGATAGGAAGAGATGTGTACGGAGCATGAGCTGGAGAGCAATCATCATCAACCTGGGTCTTGTTTAGGAGATTGCTTTCACCACTTTGGTGGTGTCTTTACAGCTGGGTTCATGCTGCAGTCAACTTTGCAGGTGGAAGGACACGGGAAATGGCCTTCGTGCTTTTTAGGGTATATTAAGAGTGGACCGTGTGAGTGTCTTGAATTTGAAACTAGATGATGTGGAGAGGGAAAAGGAGAAGAGGAGATTGTGACTACTCAAAATACCACACTGCTGTGTTCAGCAGAGCTTCCTGGAGGTGTTCCAGAGCTGTGGAGATGTGGCACTGAGGGTCATGGCCTCAGTAGCCATGGTAGGCATGGTGGGAGTGGGAGTGGATTGATGTTTGGACTTCATGATCTTAGAGGTCTCTTCCAATCTTAAGATTCTGTGATTCTACAATTCTCCTTGCCAACACGAACAGCACAAAATCCCACTGCTTCCAGCATATGGGGATGGGATAGCACAACTCTGGAGCTGTTAGCCCAGGGCAGCAACTCCTAACACAGTCCGGGTGAGGGGAAAGCCAGCATTTGTGGAACAAGCTCCTTTAAATGTGAATAAAGGCATCCGAAGTCGACAAAAAGAGCATTCAAACGAGCTGAATTGCAAAGAACATAAAAGAGAGATTAATAAAACAATAATAAAACAATATTTGGGAGCAATCTCAGCTGCAGGAGATCCCTTAGCTTCGTGCATGCTAAATAGAGGGCAATTTTCTTCGGAGTGCTGCCTGCCCAGAGCTGAGCCATCCCCATATCGTCCCATCTCTGGAAGAGGACACCTGGGCAAAACCTGCCTGCAAAGAGGAATTTCCTCAGGCACCGCACTTTGGAGATGCCAAATGATCCTATTACAGACTTATCAAAGCAGTGGGGATTAACAGAGATAAAACAACTTTCAGCACTGGTCTCTGCCTTTCTTTGCTCTTTTGTTTGTCTAAATAGCTGTTTTGGTGAGCGCGGGGAAATAATAGGAGGCAATTATGGCTTCATGTAATGTTCCATGTTTGGGTTTTGTAATCCTTCAGTTGCGTTTATTTTCATTTGAAGCAAAAAAGTTCCCCCTGGAATATTCTAATCGCCTCGCAGCTCTCCTCTCGCCGCAGGGCTGCTGGCTCTGCGTGCACCTGATGGCAACACAGGGTTAGCCGTGTCCCCAGGGGTGCAGGGAGCTCAATGCCTGTTGTCTGGGCTGCGGCATGGGGACCTGCAGTGTGGCACAACACACCGGCAACAAATCCTCCGGGCGTCCGTCGTTGCATCTGGCCTCCCCCCAGCACCCGCGCCTCGGCTCCTTTCACCTTCAGAAGCCTAGAGAGGGCTTTTTGGAAAGGGCTGGAAGAGCCCAGAGAAACAGGGGAAAGAAGAGGGCTTTTCCAAAGCGGCTTTTCAACAGTCTTTGAAAATCTGACCTTATCTGAGCTTTTAATCAGCTTTTAGACCCTGAAAATTTCTATCCATCCTCTCCTTAGCAGGTGATCTCTTCCAAAATCTCCTCAGGGAGATCTGGGGGGGGGGGTTTGCTTGTGCCTTTCTCTGTTTACTCACCTTTTCTCCTCATTTTTTCCCCGGGAGGAGCAAGGACATCTCCTAACAGTGCTGCTGTCCCCACAGCGCCAATGCGTGGGTTCCTGGGTTATGCAATCTGTCACATACTTCTGCAAGTGGCTCTTTGCATTAATGCTGGGGGACACCACATTTTACTACTGAAAGTTGCCCTGGAGGCTGAGCAGAGGTCTCCTGGATGGGATCTGCAGTGGTCGGGCTGCAGGAGGTGGTGTTCCAGTGGATCTAAGTGCTGGTGTTGCCATACATGATGTGTACCTGTACACTGAGTTCTCTAGAAGCAAATCTACGATTGCCTAGCTCATGGAATCATAGAATTTTAAGCTTGGAACAGACCTGTAAGATCATCTAGTCCAAACATCAACCTGTTACCTTCATGCCCACTGACCACATCCCTCAGTGTCACATCTCCATGGTTTTCAAACACCTCCAGGGATGGTGACCACCACGCCCTGGGCAATCTGTGTCAGTGCCTCATAGCTCTTTCTGAGAAGAAATTGTTACTAATATCCAACTTGACCCTCCCATGGCACAACTTGAGACCATCACCATTCATCCTATCGCTGTTACCCAGGAGCAAAGGCCAACCCTGTTTTTGAAGGACATCTGCATTCTGTGAAACAACCATTTGGGCCAAAAAGGATAAAATATCACCTTTTTTTTCTCCTTCCACTCAGAAAGTTCCTAAAGAAACTAAGTAAGACTGCAGAACTGCCTGGTGATTGGGAGGACTTTCATTGAGGTCCCTTCCAACCCAAGCCATTGTATGATTCTATGACTTATTTAAACACTTTGAAGGTTCAGGGCCCAAAACAATGCTCAGGGAGTGGATGAATGGGCTGCAAGTGGGATATCACCCGTGGTGCTATGGGAGGAAGATGCATGATGTACTCTCCGGTGCCCCAGTTCAATTCCAAGGTGGCTGTGTCCTGCACTTTGGCCTGGAGAACCATCAAACCCAAAGGCACGTCCATCAACAGATGGGAAATTTACCCATTCACTGGGATGTTTCTCACCTGTTTACACCATGTTTTGAGGAAAACACAGCTCGAGGCAACAGTCTTGTGGGCTGTAACTTCAGCACAGGGATGCTCCAGTGAGCATTAAACATAAGCATGCACTTAAGTGTCTCGCTGAGCTGAGAGGCAAAACAGCTCTTCCACTGAGGATTTTAAAATACGAATAGCTGCTGGCTTGTCGTGCCTGAGTGTCTTTGTTTCACTTGTGCAAGCTTGTTTGCCTAGCTCCATAAATCCTGAGACTGGTGCTATAGGGAATTACACGCGCTGTGCTCCGGGTTGGCGTGGTGGGCTTTCTGTCCTTGCTCATACACCGACTGCAGCAAACACAGCAGAGCTCCTCAGCTGAGTGTTCATAGCGGATTAACCACAGAGCCTCTACTGATACCTACTGACAACAGCTCTCTTGCAGGAAAGAGAAGACAGGTGACAATATTCAAGGAATGTACATAATAAAGCTTCGGAGAAGTGTGCTTGAAGCAGAGGGGGAGGAAAGGAGATGGGGAAAAGAATGCATAATTCACAAGGCAAATTAATCAGTCCTCTTCCCTCTGCCTGTTGCAATTACACTGAACACGAGTAATCATCTGGTTACTATTTTTTATTATTATTGTATTTGTATACCAGAAAGCTAAACAGTGGAGATGGTGATATTGGAACGAGGACAAGCAGAAAACTGCAGTCACATTTAGAGTGGTGCCTAGCCAAGATTTCTATCTAGTTGCGCTTTCATTGTGGAAAGAGCTTTTTTTTTTTTCCTTTTTTCCCTTTTTTTTTTTTTTAATTCCATCCCCTTTAGATTGGTGGGGAGTTGTGGCAAAGGAGGGCGGGGGTTGGTGTGCGTTAGAGCAGAGAGATTGGGTAAAATTATTTTCCTTCATGCTTGGTTGGGCCTCAGTGTGAAAAAGGGGACCCAGCTTAGGGCTGGTGGGAGATTGCAGATAAAAGCAGCTTCATTTCTAACTGACCTTCCATGCGTTTGGTCAGCAGGGGAAGGCGGGGGAAGGAACAATGAGAGCCACCTCCAGAAAAGCCAGTCCTGAATACCTACACCAGCCACAGTGAAATGAGAGGGGGAAACAAAAGCCTTAGGGGGCTCTGTGTGGCCCCTGCAGGATGAGAGCTGTGGAACAGGTCATGAGCAGGCAGCAGAATGGCCATAGGCATGGGCATCTCCAGCACCTGTAGTGATGTGGGATCCAGGTCCCAGCTCAGCCTGATATTTTATCCAACACCCAACACCAAGAAGAGCTGCAGGCTTAAAATGCTTGCACGAACCTCATTACTCTGACTTCTGCTTGCCAAGGCCCCTTGGAAAACATATGTGATTTATATCCTAGGAGGAAACAAAACTTTGTCTTGCATTGGGTGTGGGCTGAACTGAGCAAAGGAACTGATTAAGGGTGCAGGGTGCAGCTGGTCCTGCTTGGCACAGGTGGAAGGAGTTCACCAAGAGCCTGATGGGCTTAAAAAGGTCTCAGGAAGGCTTTCTCTCTTTGGATTTAATATTGTAGGTGCTGGCTGGATCTTTTCTTGCAGAGAAAGGGATTCTCTGCTGTATGCCCTGACTGGGAGGTATTTCTTTTTGCAGCTCTTGAATAGGTATTTCTTTATATAGTTCTTATCTTAGCAATCCAGAATCAGATCTTCTACTTCTTTTATTTTATGGGGAAGGTCTGATATAGAAGTGTCCCCTGGGAGAATCTGAAAACCAGCATGTTAGCAGAAGAGTGTCTTTCTGCTCCTCTACTCTGTGCTGGTGAGGCTTCACCTGGAGCACTGCATCCAGGTGTGGAGTCTTCAGTACAGGAAAGACATGGACCTGCTGGAGCACATCCAGAGGAGAGCTACAAAACTCATCCCAGGGATGGAATATCTCCTTATGAGGATAAGCTAAGATAGCTGGGGTGGTTCAGCCTGGAGAGGGGAAAGCGGTGGGGAGGTCTGAGGGCAGCATTTCAGTATCTAAAATGGGACAGTAAGAAGGAGGGGGACAGACTCTTTAGCAGGGTCTGTTGTGACAGGACAAGGTGAAATGGTTTCAGACTAAAAGGGGAAGGGGGGGGAGAGGGTTTAGACTGAATATGGGAAGATATTTGTTTCAGTAAGGGTGGTGAGGCACTGGAGTAGGCTGCTCAGAGAGATGGTAGATGCACTGTTCCTGGAGACACCCAGGGTCAGGCTGGATGGGGCTATGGGCACCTGATGGAGCTGTAGGTGTACCTGTTGTTGCAAGGGAGTTGGGCTAAGTGACCTCTGGGAGTCCCTTCACACACAAATGATTCTATATATATATATATATATATATATATATATATATATATATATATATATATATATATATATATATATATATATATATATGGTCTGTGGCAGAAATTGCTTGAGCTGTGCTATACTTTTTGTACATGTAGGTAAATCTGCTTGTGGTGAAAGCAGGCCTGGTCTTTGGAAGCTGCTGTAATACTGCCATGTTTATATGAACAGCCTGGGAACCACATGGTGTCAGATGGAGTATGGGCTGCCTCATACTCCTTCATAGCCTCAAGCAGTTGGGGTGGCATTTCAAGTGGGGTGGGTGATTTCAGAGGAGCTCTTGGAGTCCTTCTTAAGCTGAACAGAAGCTTAAGCTGGCTACAGGCTCTTAGATTCTGGTGTTGTAATAGAACAATATGTATTTACCTTTACTTCCTTGCTCTTTTCTAGTGACTGCCATGAGCAGCTCCTTCCCAGCACTCTCGTGATGATTGCACGGTGGGATTCACTCTGTAATTTTCTTATCAAGTGCCTTTAGATAACAGAAAGCTCCTTCTTGTCCCAAATTCTAGGCTTGTTTCTTCATTTTGCAGGAAGACCTCAGCACCTGAAGGTCCTGATAGCAATTTCAAGCCCTCATTGATGCCACTGTAGCAACAAGATGTGCTTGCAGCACATCTTCAAGCCCAGACAATACTTCTAGACTGCTTAAGTGCTAATAGTGTCACTGAGCTCGTTTGCACCTTTCTCCATCAGTTGCTTGTGTGCATTTGCAGTTTTTCTGTAAATGGTGGTAGAGGTAAAGTCTGCAGGTTTACATGTGGGAGAGCCTGGGAAATGAGGTGGCTATTTCCTTTAGCCTACCTAAGATTAAAAGGAGATACAAAGCAGATGAGCAGAGTACCTACCTGTGTGTGTGGAGCTTTTAAACTGAAGCTGAGACAAAGTGGCTGTGGAAATGCTTCCTTGTTTTGTTTGTTTGCTGTTTGTAAAATAAAAATGAGAATGAAACTTTTTTTTTTTTAAGCTTAAATTTCCACTAACTTAAGATAGTGATTAGTCCCTTTGTTGCTCTATGGAGTGCCCATAATCAGGGGATGGTTTCACTCAACTGCTGAGGATATCTGCCAGGTCTCCTGTCTCCAGCATGGTCTTAGCAAAGCGTGATGCTCTCAGGGCCTCCTGCTCCAGAGGCAGACTGTTCAGCACTGCTGGTCAGTGCAGTAAGATCAAAAGGTCTGTAATTAGACCAAAGACTCCTTGAGTGGGTGCTACATTATTGATGATGGAAGGAGTGTTTTTGTTTTTCTTGGTTATAAATGATGCTGGCAGACAGGAGTTTATTTCCTGAAATCTGCTTTGAAATGCCACTGGAAGCTGAGCAATTAGCTCCCTGGGAAACCTCAGCTTGTTGCTTTCATAAACTTTGAATATTAGAACTTTAAACTTAAACTCCAGGTGCATTTCAACTATCTTCCTAGCTGAAGCTTTTCTGAGAAACTTTGTCTTCTTCAAAAGTCTTGCATGTGAAAACAGCGATCAGAGGTGTGCTCTCAGACAAAAGGACTGACATACAATGCTTTCTGTATGTAAAATGAAAGGTATAATGCTGCTTTCTGTTCCTGTAAGTACTCTTCCAGCAAGAACCAGCCTTCTACCATTAAGAGCTGCAAGCAGCTCTCAGATGTCCTTGCTGAGCTACCAAGGTTCTAAGCTGAAATAGGGCTTGGAGGAGCTGAGCAACCTGTCCCATTGCCTGGGGCTGATGGGAGGTCTGGGGCTGCAGTGGGTCCTCAGAAGCCCTCTGCTGACCTCAGAAGCCCTGCTGTGGGAGCTTTTGGGCCTGCTGGATGTTTCTGGGTGCCTGGCTCTTCCTGGGCTCTAAAAGAGTCCCCAGATTCTGCATTCCCCAGCTCTGTGCTCTCCCCTGTCTGCCCCTGACATCAACACTAACAGCAGCCCAGTGGATCCTATGGGGAGAGGAGGTGTGGAGTAAAAATGCTGTGTTTCCTTTAAAAAGAAATAATTATTAAAGATAAATAGGAAAGGAAATTTATATCTTCTTCAGAGTGGAAGCTGCACCTGCCCATCCACTTTCTCAGTCCTCAGCTCTGTGAAGCACTTCAACCCATTTCTAACTTGAGCCACATGAGTTATCCCTCTGCCCAGCTTTGGTGGGTGACTCATGGATTTCTAAGTTGGTCACGTCCTTCAGGATGCTGCTGCATTTAATGGAGCCTCTCCTTCCCTCCAGCTCAAGGATGAAGAATCAGAGCTGATGTCAAGCAAACAGCTGGTCCTCCAGCATCTCGCCATCCTGCCTCCTGCCAAAGCTCATGTCAACATGTTCTGCTCTGAAAGCTGCATTGTGGTTTTGTTTGACAAGGAGTACAGAAGCATGCTGAGTACTTCATGAAGGAAATAAGTAAAACTCTTTTTTTTTTTTTTTTTTTTTTTTTTTTTTTTTTTTTTTTAGTGGGGAAAACATATTTTCTCAGTGTCTTGTTAACCTCTTGCTGTCCGGCTGGAGGACACACAATATCCCTACACACTCGGGTTTACCTAAGAATGATAGAGCTTTGATTTTAAGTTAAGGCAGAGAAGCATTCCACTGTGTGTAAAAGCTGAAGGGCTTCACCAGATTCACTCACTGGTGCTCTCTGAGCCTGCTTTGCCTTCTGCACCCTCAACTCTAGAGATGGTATATCAGTGGGCATGGAGGAGGCTTTCACCAGGCTGTGAACTCCAATCTGTGCACTTGTGGTGTTGCCTCCCATTGGTGCTCTAAGCTTTCAAAGTGAAATTTTAGCTGTACTCAGCATATTGCTTTAGGTCTTAAGACTTTTCCAGGAAGCCCTGTGAGTATTTCCATTTTGCTCCTTATAGATACTAGATTATTTCATAGAATCCATCGAATGGTTTGGGTTGAAAGGGACCTTTAGGATTATCCAGCACCCATCCCCCTTTTACAGGCAGGGACACCTCTCTCTAGCCCAGGTTGCTCACAGCCCCATCCAGCCTGGCCTTGAATGCTTCCAGGGAGGGGTAATCCACAGTCTCTCTTGTTCCTTCTGGGCTTGTATTGTTTAAGGTGTCTGCTTAGGCTTCTTCATTAAACACTGCGCCGTCTGAATTTCTCCTGCTGTTTCTGCCCAGGGAAATTGTGCAAATCAGCTCTTCTTGTACTACTTTCTGCCAAAGGAAGAGGCCTCTAGATGTATCATGAGATCTCAATGGAGGACCTTGCTTGTTTTAGGTCCCAAAGGTGAACAAGAGTTGTTTTCTCATCCTGACAGTTGACCTGAGCAGGTGCTGGGGAGCCCTGCACTGCTGTATTTTCCCATCTGGTTCTTTGGTTTTTTTAAAACAACATCTGGCTGTCCTGCTCCTACACACCATAAACCTGATTCTAAGTCCTATCTAATTTCAGGGAACCCTTGTAACAGGTTGTCCAAGGAGGTTGTGGATGCACCATCCCCGGAGGCATTCGAGGGCAGCCTGGATTGTGGCTTTGGGCAGCCTGGTTCGGTGTTTGGTGACCCTGCACATAGCAGGAGGTTGGAATCAGATGATCACTGTGGTCCTTTTCAACCCAGGCCATTCTGTGATTCTGTGATAATTCTATGAAATGGCTTCAAGTTGTGCCAGGGTAAGTTTAGATGGGATATCAGGAAGAACTTTACAGAAAGGGTTGTTAAGCACTATAGGCTCCCCAGGGAGGTGGTAGAGTCACCATCCCCAAATGTGTTTAAGAACAGTTTGGATGTGCTGCTCAGGGGCATAATTTAGTGGAGGGTTGTTAGGGTAGTGTGGTTAGGTTGAAGTTGGACTTGATCTTGAAGGTCTTTTCCAATCTGAGCAATTCTATGGTTCTATCCGACATAGTTTTCAAATTAAAAAAAAATTACTTGTTATCCATCTAATTTCTACGAGAGGAAATTCTATTAAATCTCCAGAAGAAAGTGCATTATAGCTGTACTTTCAGAAGCAGACCCTTGAATAAACTTCTTTAGTTATTTCGCATAACTTCCATTATGACAGTCATTATGAAGCAGATGAACATTTTCTTGAACAATTAGATGAGGGTGTATGGAATAAAGAGTGTAGTTCGCCTGAGATCATTGAAACCTATCTGTTTGGGTGATTCATTTTCTTCCGACTAGGCTGCCCATAATAAGCTTTTCTTCTCTGGCTTTGTCTTGTTTCTCATTTCAGTTGGCCACAATGCCCAAAGAATTGAAAGAATGTCTTTCCCCATGTCCTTGTGCTGTGACTGAGCCTGGCAAACAAAAAAATATAATCTATTTTTTTTCTTCTTGAAGCTGAAAAGAGGAGGAGGAGGAAGGGCAGATTAAAAATGAAATGTGCACTGTTACCTGTGTGGCAGCAACTTAGAGCAGGTGGGCCCTTCTAACTTTGGATGCTCTGTATGGCCCAGCAGCCATATTGGGTGGAGCTGTGTGAAGACATGGGAATGCACAGAACTCCTCATCTCCTGCTGCCACTGCTTCAGGTAAGTAGCTTCCAGAGTAGCACTTTGGAAGGTGACCTGGTGGAAAATCAAATGCAACTAGCTGGTGTATCCCTGTGCCACAAACGTGTTTAACAATTGCAATGCAAAGGTAAGCCTGATGAAATGAAAGCTAGGACAGATCCGTAAGATCATTACAAACACAGGATGTCTGTGAACATCTTTCCCATGCCCGATGGTGTGGGATTGCTTCCTGAGGCTTTGCTTGGGGTGTGAGTTCCTGGCAGCTGCTCTCTGGGGCTGCTCATGGCACTGCTGTGATGCTCACCCAGGCTCTGTGGTGTGTGAATCCAGCACTGAGGAGCCCCAGTTATGTACTGGGGAGGCACCTCCTCCCCAGTCTTACTGCTGCACCCCACAGAGTGGCTCTGACTCTGATCAAAGGTGGCAAGTGCCTGAATTTCCACCTTCTGATTATGGCTGTGCCTTGAAGCCTGCTATGAAATCACAACTGCACCTCATGCTCAGGAGAGGGTGTCACGAGTCCTCCTGGGAGAGCTCAAAGCAGGAGCTTTTCCTGCACAGACAATGTGCATAAATATACCTGGATAATGAGAGATGGCGCAGGATAGCGCAGGAGGGTTTGTTGAGGATCTTGTCACTTGACAAGTAGGTATGTAGTGGGCTGAAGCCTTGTTTCCATTGTTCATCCAAAATTAAACACTAGCTGCTAGTCAGTCCCTTGCTGTTTTACCTCTTGTTGCAAGCAAGAACAACAGCAGCACAGCTAAAATTCAATTCTAGTGGATAGGACTGTAAGAGTTCATTTCCTGGGGTGGTTATCATCCACGTCCCACACAGCAGTTTGATATTTAGCTGGTGCTGCTGCAAATGATATGGAAATCTCCTGGTCACCTCTAAGAACGCTTTGTACATCAGCTTGCAACTCAAGAAATTTCTGGAGAGCCTAAGAAAATAAAAAGCTTTCTTTGGTTCTTTTAAAACAGCAGAAGCGGCTGACTTGGGGTCTGCCCTGGGCTTCTTGCGGGGAGATATTAGCAGGGACTGAATTGAATGGAAGCTGCTGGAGAATGTGAGGCAAGGGAAAATGTTTTTATAAGAAAAAGAAATGGCAAAAACTTAGGGGAGAAAGCGGAGAATGCGAGACCTTGAACTGAGCCTCTTTGGGGAGGGGGGAATAAAAAAAAGGAAAAAAGTGCCTGCTTGAATAATAGACTAACTAGCGACCTTGAACATATACAGTGTGCATAATAAGAGTGAAACAAATGAATCCCTGAATATGAGGCCTTAGAATGGAGAATAATAATCACAAGTGACAAATTAAAACAAAAAAAAAAAAGAAAAAGACACATAATTTAACAGGATAATGGGGGTTTGAACCATCCTGAGATGAGAGAAATGACAGAAGGGGTTTAACAACAGACTGGGCTAGCAAATGGCCTGGCTGCAACTTGTAGGAAGAGGAAAGCCAGGACTCGTCTGCTCCAGAAGGATTGTACTGATTTATTCTATTAGTATATGTGTAAACCTGACTTTCTTCTCAGATTGCTGTCCAAATTTAGGAGGGGGAAATCTGTCAGCTCTTTTCTTCTGTTCAGTCACTCCTGACTGCTCTCCTTGTGATGCAGCCCAGCTCTGGCAGAGTGGCTGGCAGGGATGGTGACACCACTTGGTGCTGTGGGGTGACATCAACTCACGTGGGTGAGGGATGTGATCCAAGGCTCACCACATCTATCTGCTGCTTCTGAGCTGAAAGTGACGATGCTCCCAGTCTGTGAGCAGCCTTATCCTTCAGCTGATGTGAGTTTTTGTGGATGATCTGTTCAGTGCTTTCTTGTTACCTCGTGAGCACCAGTCTAACTCAGGCAGTCCCTGCCCACATGGTACATTTCCAGGCTTTGTTTCACTTTAAGTACGAGTGATGCAGAATATTTAACCCTAAGGTGTGATACCTTTCACTTTTCCTGAACACATCCTGTATATCTCTTGATAGCTGTCTTCCACAGCTGCTTCTGATTTGACTTGAACACTTCCAGAAGAAATGTCTTAAACACCTTCAATTCATCAGTGAAGATGAGAGACTCACCCCTGAAGTGTTCCTTTGCATTTATTCCTAGTTTGATTTCTTGTTAGTAAGCAAGAGTTACTTCTTTATGTTGGTGGTACCAGCCAGTTTGAGATCTACACTGCAAGAATTCCTCCTAGCTCTCTCTCCAATCTGTTGTTCATCAGAGGCCTTGGGTGGATGTTTTCCTTTAGTTTTCCTCTTCAACCTTTCTGCACTAAGAGCTTAGAAGATGGTCCTTCAGGCATTGCTCACTGTGCCACATGTGTGGGTGGTGATGATGCCTCTATTTCCCACAGGTGTCTGTGCCCAGTCTTGTCATGGCCAAGCTTCCCTATGGGTGCTAATGCCCATTCTCCCCATGGCTGGTGATGCCCAGCCCTCTTCACAGGTGACGATGACGCTCAGCCTTCCAATGGATGGTGATGACCAGCATCCTCATGGGTGGTGATGCCTCTACTGCCTTCAGAATGGCAGCATCTGAGAGCAAGCATTTCTGTTGACATCAGAGGTTAGTCTGGTCCTCTTCAGTGCAGAGAGATGGACAGCAGATGGCTTGCAGCACTGCTACCTCTGCATCTAGATCTTGACTACACAAAGCAAAAAAAAAGCCAACAAAAAACACATGAGAGTATGTGGGACTTAGTATCTCTTTCTTTCTTTCTTTTCCATCCCTTTCTGAAGCCACTGATCACTGGCATAGGAACCTATTGTTTGCATTGATGTGGCTTCAGCCAAACTTCCCACATTTGGGTTAAAATTTATTGGTGGCTTTCCACCCTCTGAGATGCTACTTTGCTACCCAATCCTCCCTGCAGAGGACCCATTCCTTCACATAGTCAAGCAGGCCCTGCCAGGCTCCCCTTTGCTTTGTGTGGATCCTCGTGTTGTCCTCAGCTTTCACACCACAAAAGATTAAAGATAATACTAATACTAATCATATAAAAACGCCCTTCTGAGAATGGCCTGCCGGCTGATATTATGCCACATAAAGACTCTGTGAAATAGCCAGGGTAATTTACACTCATTAGGAGGAGAATGCAGTAGATTAAAGGTAGCAAGGGTGAATAGCTTCCCATTTTTGTCAAACTTGCCTAAGCTTTTATTCACCTGCTGAAGCCATTATTTTATAATAATAAAAAAGAGGAGAAAGAGCCTTGCATGAACTTGGGGAGAAAGGGAGAGAGTGCAAGCTAGGAGCTATTTTCTCAAGAGAGAGAAATGCAGCATTATAGATTAAAGGTGAAAAGACAGCTCTCATTTAAATCAATCCACCTCTCCGAAGCATATTTATTCACAGATTAATTAGAGTTGCAAATGAAAATGATCTGGTTGGTGGGAACGTTATTGAGGCCTTTAAAGTGCGGGAGTGAAGATTAAAAGGAAGCACACTTACCCTTTCCTTATGATCTAAAGAGGAGATCAAAAGAGTCGGTGTCAAATTAACAGCCCTGATGATTTCTCTCCTCTTCTAGCTCCTCGTTTATTATCTCAGGCTCATGTTGATACATGCAGGATGAAGACCTGCTTTCCTGCACTGCTGGCGCATGATGTGTGTAGGGTCTCTTTAGGATCAGTGAGGAAGGTTCAGGGCTACCTGAACGGGGATAGGTTGCCAATGGGAGTAGACAGGAGAAATTGTATCTTGCATACTGGGATATTGCAAGGAATTGGTGAGATTGTAGTGACATAGCACTGCGAAACTGCAGATTCATTTGCCCGGTCTGTGGTTGAAATGTGTTTAATTGAATGCCCAGCCTCTTGTGAGGCTGTGGGGTATATTTGAGACTTGCTGTTGAGGAAAAAGTTGTGATTTTACTGGGCTCCAGGGGAGCGTGGCCCCTTGTGAGACTCCGCCAGGTAAGGGACTGCTGCAGCAAGGCAACACTATCAAACCAT